TGGTACTGAAAGGTAGAAAAAATTTAAGTCTATAGAGAGACCTGAGCGTGTTGATCACCTTGCGACACACTTCATTAACCTGGTCGTCCCAACTAAGTGTGCAGTCGATAAGCAATCCTAAGTTTTTAACCACTGGCTGAAATGGAATGATATCACCATCGTAAATTAAGCGACTAACCGTATTGAGATCTATTAGAGCCAACTGTCTAGAACTGCCAATAATAATAGCTTGGCACTTAGCTGTGTTGACGGCAATACCATAAGCCTTGGACCACTCTAAGATATTAAGGAGATCCTGATTTATAGCAGCTACTGCGTCATTTAGCTTGCTTTTGTCAGCTTGAGTATAAAGCTGAAGATCGTCCGCGTAAAGATGGCAATAAGAATGAAATTGAGTGGTAAGAGAATTAATAAATAGAAAGAAGAGGAGAGGAGAGAGAATACCGCCTTGAGGTACGCCAGCAGTCAAATCGCACCAGTCAGATATAGTCTGATCAGCCCGAACCGCCTGCTATCGTCCACGAAGATAAGATGAAAACCATGCCGTAGCAGAAGAAGAGAGTCCCGATTGTGAGAGGATAGCAAGCAGAATATCATAACTGACCGTATTGAAAGCATTCGAAAAATCAATCAAAACCATAATCGTTATCGATTGCGTTTGCAGTAATATCGTAGCGTGTGTGTGTAATTTATAGTCCAGTTTATTCATAAATGTACCAAGTCGGAACATTTACCGTGTGGAAGCACTATTAATGACAATGTTGATAACATATGTTCACAAACAATTGAACTTTATTTTTGCACAAAAAACAAAATTTAGAAGCAATTTAATATGGGTTTCGATGCCTCGGTAAACGATTAAAGTGACAGCACTTGATTACATAATTCTTGATAATTTACCGCTGGGGGCCCTTTACCGAAATCCAATAACCGATAAGGGCATTCGATATCACTTCTCTACTATGTCGATATATAAACTCATATTGAAGCCACGAGCAATACAATTGAATATACCATAATCAATTATTATCCAAAAACTTGCAAAGTTAAATCGGATTGTACTCTCGGATCTTTTATAGTCTGTTTAAGATAAAACGAAAAAAATATAATATAAAATACATATAAAATAAAGATAAAGATAAAAATATAAATATAAAATACAGAAATTCATAAGCGATTAATTTGCGACCGCTATAGTTGAGCACGAGTGTAAAACTGGAAATAAGAAAAAATCGTGAAGATAAAAGCTAATTCGTGGCATTTTTAGAATTGATATTGAATTATATACCTACTGTCGCCATAAAATTAAGACAAAATATCTAGATTATTATTATTATAATATATCTCGCAAGATTGTAAACTGTTAAAAAATTATAACATACTTTTAGTGATTACGGTATATTCAAAAAATCATAGTCAAAAAATTGCCTTTTTTAAAACAATTGCGTTATCACAGCAGTAAAAAATTGTCACAGGTTTCTATATAGAAGAAATTCATAATGATAAAATGATAATTTTAATAAAATGTGACGGGTTCGGTGCTTGGGCGAATGAATGAAAGGCTGCCTAAGCTTGAGAACTTGATTTTATTATACGTTCATAAAAGAAAAGAAGAAAACCCGTGTCTGGGTGTTCTGTAATAGACAAAACTTGGGCGATGTTTCACGAAAATATACTTTTAGACTTTTAGTTTATAATATTTTTCTTATATAATTATATTAACTTAATTATAATTATATAAGAAAAATAATTATAATTATAATTATATTAACTTAATTATTATTTACCCTCCAATCCGCATTGGGCCAGCGTGGAGGGTCATGGCCCATCCTCCTTAACCATCCATAAGGAAGGCCTGAGCCCCTGCAGTGGGGACGTAAAAGGGCTGGTGAAGATAATTATTATTAAAATTTTTATATTTAGATTACATTATCATGTTCACACCAGATGATTTTTTTACGAACTGACATTCATAAAGAGCATATTGGATTAGTCAAATTTTCAAATTACGAAAAAAATGTTTCTAAAACCATTAAATAAAAAATAAAAAAAATTTACCCACACTAGGTCTATCCGTTGAACATTTTTGTTTACCGATTATAAGACAACCATAGAGAAAAATATTCTCTGGTATTGAAACCTCATTAACTTTGAAATTGTAAGTTCGAATTTCGACAATTAGGTAACCATTAGCAACAATACACAACAAACCAACGAAGGCTGTATACGCCGCCGTGGTCGTTCACTGTACTATTTGTAAGTAATGTGCGTATCGTAAGAACTCCTTGTGTTGTTTCTTATAAATAATTCAGACACCATTGTTCTCCAGACTTAAATAATGTACTAGTACTGAATATTTGAGACGACACCCGTTTTCTAAGACTTAAAATAAACAAACGGTTAGAATTTCTAAGCGACATAGATACTTCTGAGTTTTATAAAAATGCTGAGTTTTATTCATTAAAATAAAATGGTACACAATTTATTACTACCAAGGAAATTTTTTGAAAGCAATATGATATATTTATTTTATTAATGACTAGCTGTTCTATCTACGACATCACTTACTTACGCAAAGCTCATTATAGTAATAATAATTAACATAATAGCTTATATCATCCACATACATATGATGTAGCTTACCGATGGTAATTTTTTTTTTTAAATATTATTAAAATAACATAACGGTCTAAAATCTAGTTTTGAAACCTATTAAATGCAAATAAACGAACAAAACCACTGGCACGATGTTATCGTTTATAATATTAGTTTAAACATAAGCATCATCATTACAAATTCACAATATTAACCTAGTAATATTTAATGTTCTAACAATGTCAGTGTACTTCGTGAAAATAACAGTTATATATGTGCATATTTTATCAGAATTGAAATTAGCCAAGGCAACTTTAGTTTACATGGTCATTATAGGTAATATTATAATCATTGCAAACATAAACTTTATAAAATTCTATAAATACAAAAGTTCAGTTTAAACAAAAAATCTCCACAACACAATAAAACATTTCAGTCGTATTTTAAATACCTATGCCAACTTTTTTTCGCTTTGTTCTCTTCTGTTTCTCGTGTAAGCCCAAGGGATAAGTTAATCAAGCAATTTAAACTGCTAGATTATGAATTCGGGTAATTATAAAGTTGTTTTCGATCCTAAAATTTGTTTAATTCAGATAATCAACTTTTGTGTTAAATGCATGACAAGTTTATTTTTTATATACAGTTTCTACTTACTGACAAGCATCATCATTACGTATTGATAAATAAATTATTTTTCTAGTTCTTATCCAATAATTAAAAATAATCAGCATGATATTAATGTAATTATAATTTGCATAAAAAATGTAGGTAAAAGTTACTTTTTTTCTAATTATTGTTAGTAAAATTATTAACGTAATGAGGAAAGGCTAATCTACAAAATGTACTGCAAAAATAATAAAAAAATACAAATCATACATGTAACGTATTAGCTGTTTACGATTTTTAACAATTCTGCATATATTAATTTTTACTTTAGAAAGTAAAACTTATTAGAGATAAAAATATAAAATGAATTTTATTAAACAAATAGCTGGTCAGGAAAACGTTATTGATATCACTTAGTGATTTTTTATATCAGCCTACTAATTAACAAACCGGAAGGACAGCAATCAACAATTAATTGTTTTTTTCTTTTCAATTAACGTTACACGTGCTTTTCATTCTGAATTTAATTAAGTATTTATTTTTATCAGAAATAAATTCTTAATTAAATCAGGATTTTTTTATCAGAATTGAATTTAATGAAGTATTTATTTTTATCAGAAATAAATACTTAATTAAATTAGGATTTTTTTATCAGGTATTTGTTTAAAATTACCAATTCAAATCTCATTCAAATTGCAAATTTGCAACTTGACTCTGACTGGAATTTGACTCGAGTAACTCGAAATCTCAGACACGACTCGAGTGACTCAAGTCACAAAATCCTATTCGAATCGCATCACTACATCAGATAGATGGATTCTATCCAGTTTGAATACCATTGTACTAAAAAAATTACATATATATGATTTAAAAATTATCTTATCTAGGATGTACTTCTATAGCTATATCTATTTTAACATGGTCTTAAGAAATTAGTGTCAAAACAAGGAAATATTAGGTAAGGCTAAAAAGAATACTGGTTCAAATATTGGTCTTGTTTCAAATAATATTAGTCAACTTTGTGATAAACTGTCGAGTATAATTTGCGGTGAACCTCTCTCAAAATTAATGTCTACAGAAATATTTTTTCCTTTTGTAGACTAAGATCAAATAAGAGCTGAGAATTAAATTACGTAGCTTGAATGTAGATATAGATTATTACAAAATTTCAAATTACTCAAATTGATTTTGAACATAAAAGCAATCTGATTAAGATATAAAATCCAGTATAGAAATAACCCAAGCCTGCTGCTAAAGAAACATTTAGTGCGAAATTTGAAAAGCCAAAGATATGTTTATCGCCAAATCACGCAACTGAATTTAATGGATTAATATTTCATATTTTAACTGCTACGAAAATTGAATTAATTGAAGTAATTTGACACTAAAATATTGTATTATCCAAAATGAATATGCATTGTGTGTTTGTTGGCATTAAATAGACTCCGCAACTAGTGAACCAATTTGAAAAATTCAGTCTCCAACGGGAAATTACGGCTATAGAATGATGATTTTTTTATTAAATATTGTATGGTACAATGAACCGCATAAGTGCAGCGTTGAATTTTTACGCTACTGTACCAAATCTAGGGCATGGCGAGTCAGTCTTCTCATAATCATCATACATTAATTACCTAAATTGGTATTACCATATAAGTATTTGTGAGCCAATAAACTGTATCTTGGAAATTATAATCTATTCTTTTTGGTGTACAATCAACTCGTACATCAAATGGTCCTTCGAGCCGGATCAACTCGTACAAATATAATACCGATAGTTTCATTTCTTATATTTACAGAGTCGACAAGAATATCGGAACGCCTTCTTGAACTATTGCAATAACCCGAGCCCCGCTGCACTGGCCACATACTACGACTCCCACAACAGCTACGTCCAGCAACTGACTGCAACAAATGCTATGCTGGACCAGTACCATAAGCATACACTGCCTACTATATTACAGGTATCTTTTTTGTTCTCAATTATAAATAAACAATCACACTGAAACGGATTAATAAAAGAAACCATAAGTCTACCTCAGTATTTCTTGATAACAGACAAACTCGAGAAATGCTATATCTACATCAAATGTCATATGGGCGCACTCGAGAAAAGTGGCATTTGGCGTAGACAAAACGTTCTCTAGTTTATCAAGATACACGTGCTCCTTTGCTCTTTTGTAAAAAACTAAACAGGATCCAATGCATCGTCGAGCACAGCGCTATCATAGCTTAAAGCAGTAATGTGAAACTTACGGCCCGTGATCACAATATACAAATATCACGGAAAAATCTTATTTTTTTATTTATTTTATATTGCACTCGAAGCCTTTACCAAAATTTTAAAATGAACGCTTTATTTAAATGGTTTATATATTGTTTGCTTGCTTGCTTTTCTGATAATAAATCAGTATATTTTTTTTTATTCGACCGTCTATATATTATAAGTAATATAGGGTTCTCGGTTAATTTAAGTTTGACAGCGCTGGCTTTAGAGGTTCAATTAAGTTAAACCTTTCACTTTAATAATAATATCATTTCATTGAACTTCTATGGGGCGACACCGCTGTGCGCGACGCTGCGCTGAATGCTGATTTTTAACAGAACAACATAGATAACTTTAAAATTAAAAGTCAATAAATATGCATACATACGAGGGTCAAACTGAAAGTTCTTAGAACTGGCCACTTATAAACAATATAATAAAAAAATAATTCTAAAATTTGAAAATATAACTCTTTGCCAATATTACTGAGTATATATTTCATTCATTTGTCATTTGTTTTACGATTTGGCGGCAAATTGAAAATTGTCTGTGTCACGTCATCATGAATTTAACACGAGAAAATTTTCGTGCAATGATTTTTTATGACTTTCGATGTCATTTAAGTCAACAAGAAAGTTATGATAGACTACGATTGGCCTTTCACGATGAAGCCCCATCTCGTGCGACTGTTTACAACTGGTTTAATGAGTTTAAACGTGGTCGCACTAATCTCACTGATGATTTACGTGAGGGACGGCCTTCTACGGCGACGACTGAAGATAACATCTGTGTTGTGCGGCGTATGATAGAGACTGACAAAAGAGTGACCTATCAACAGATTCGGACAAGCTTAGGCATCGGTATGAGTCAAGTGCACAAAATCCTCCACGAACATTTAGCGGTCAGGAAGCTTTGCGCCCGGTGGATACCTCATAATTTGACTGAGGCTCAAAAACTCCATCGTGTGGATTGGTGTCGTAAAATGATTGAAAGATTTAACGGAGGTGACTCAAATGCTGTGTTCGACATACTAACAGGTGATGAAAGCTGGATTTACTGTTATGATCCTAAAACCAAAAGACAATCTGCTCAGTGGGTGTTTCCTTTCGAGGAGTTGCCAACTAAAGTGAAGAGAGATCGAAGTGCGGGAAAAAAAATGGTGGCCTCGTTCTTTGGAAGGATAGGTCATTTTGCAACAATTGTGTTAGAGGATCAAAAAACAGTTTCTGCAGAATGGTACACTACCAATTGTTTGCCACTTGTCTTGGAAAAAGTTCGAGAGAAACGACCTCGCAGTAGGATCCTCCTTCACCACGACAACGCCTCGTCGCACACCGCCAAGCGAACGATCGACTATTTGGCGACATCAAACGTTGAATTACTGGGTCACCCGCCGTATAGCCCCGACCTCGCGCCTTGTGATTTTTATTTATTTCCAAAAATTAAAGAAAAACTTAAAGGAAAGCGGTTTATGAATGCTGAAGAAGCGGTGGCTGCGTATCGCGATGCCATTGAAGAGACCCCTAAGGACGAGTGGGCAAAGTGCTTTTCCCAGTGGTTCCATCGCATGCAGCGGTGTATTGACGTGAATGGACAATATTTTGAAAAGATATAATAAAACTAATAACTGGCTAATGTAATCAGTTTTTGATTTTCTAAGAACTTTCAGTTTGACCCTCGTATATGGATACATATTTACACTGTTTTACTTATGGTAAATTTTTCTTTCCTTATACATATAAGTAAAGAAAAATTTACCATAATATATCACACAGCGGCATTATTCATTACTTCCATCCCAGATGTAAAAAAAACAAAAAGCTTGAAAAAAGTCAAAAGTTATAAGCAAGCCTTGCATAATTAGATTTGTTAATAAGACGCAACAATAATATAAATGGTTTTAATATTATTTACTTAGCACTCGATAGTGTTGGTAAAGATATAATGGGTGGCCAAAAATGTATTACCGCTTATATCAGCGCGCCTTGGAAGGCACGTCAAACCGTTGATCCAGGGTGTCTACTCTATTTGTCCACGAACAAAAATTTACAAAATTTCATATTTCATATCCGTGATTATTATTAAGATTATTCTATGCATCAGAGGCAGTGTCTCTTATCACTATAACGATTACACTTACGATTGGGTTGTGCCGTATACTCTATTTCGAAAATAGATGAAATTTCGTTTTCGAGTAGACCTTCTTGTAAGAGTCACCAATCCGCACTGAACCCGCGTGGTAGTTTATGTCATAGACAAATAAGTCGACATTTCGTATAGAAGTCTATTAGCAATGGCCGGTCATAGAATGGGTAACCAATAAATTATTATATCGAACTCATCCGTGCTTCGGAAAGCAGATTAAGCAATTGTTTATTACATTTGCAGTATTTAATACCCACCAATCTGCACTGGCACCGCAGAGTGGGTCATCATGGCCCACTCTCCCTATTTGAGCATCTCTGAAAGATTCCCTCCATAGCAAAAGCTGACAATGATAATGGAATATTTACCGACTCATTTATTCATTGCCTTTTGTGACTAACGTAATTCTTTTGGCCTTTTGAACTTCGTATGTATGTATTGTTCAGTATTACCTCAAATAAAACAAAACATTTGGAACGTAAACACAGGGGACCTAAAAACAAATGAAGATCGAGTACGAACCATTTCAGAATCCCCTGAAGCTTTGTTTTAGTAAGGAATTTACAGATAACACCCCGCACGTTTACTGTTTGAGTGATGATTCATGTAATATTATACTTATGGATGTAAACATACATCGATCACACGAGATTCCTAGTAATTGCCTGTCCTTTCAGAATATTCCACACTAATTTTCAAGATACCGAAGTTGATTAAAGATTCGAGTCATACAACATGGGCCACGTTGCTTCTGTTATTCACGAAAATATCAGCACATTCTTAGAGACAACTTTCTAAAAGAAAAATGTAGAAATTTAAAGTGAGATTGAAGGCAATCGTGTTGTTTTGTTTATTAGAAAATCGCGATTTATATGTCTTTTGAGTTATTTAATGTAATTATTTGTTTTAGTTCTGAGTAAATGAAAATGTCTACATCAATTTGTAGCGATTTAGTTACGTTTATACCTAACTATATTAATATTAACGTAGGAACTGTACTGTGCCAACAAAAGATTAAATAATAATAATTATTATGGTTTATAAATGTCAGGTACTGGTAATACGAATTTTTAACTGGCTACGCTACTTTGCTTTGAATAAAGAAAATGACAGAAAATTTACAAATTGAATATTTCTGTTGTACTTATATCTTATACATAATAGAAAACTGTCGCTTCCCGCTTCAAGTACGCTGATTCTTTTTAACTACACAGGATATTTTAATGTGTTTTTTATTCAATATACAATGATATTTAAGAGGAAGGTTTATATGTATAATAGAACCAAACAAGCGAAACCGCTGCGTATAGTTAGTTGAAAATAAAATATTATATTCAGTGTATTCTAGTTAATGAAGTATGACTTTATCTTAGTCTCCGTTGCACCATAATTGCAGTTAAAGTTTATGTGATATTTGACAATATCTGTTATGCTGACCCTTAATATATTATGTAATAAGGTTTTTAATTTTTTGTGTTAATTTAACGTCTAATCTTGTAAGCTAAATGTGACTTATCTCCCGTTTTCACTCGAGATTGGTTGACAATGTAATATTGATATAAAATGGAGATGATCTAATGATGAAGCCGGATGGTGGCCATCGAACTTCTATAATTTATAAAGTTCGAAAAAAATAATTTGAAAGTAATTTTCATCTATAATTTTCATTTGAAATCTAATTATTATATCGTTTCTTGCATTAAAACTGCAATACGACATTCAAAATTAAGTACCAACAACTTCGATCTAACATAAATAACCCCCGCTCCCACGTTTTATGACTGACTATAAAGCTAACTGAATATCTGATCCGGAGATAGGTTTGCGGTCCCATATGAAATGTACATGATCAATTCCGGCCCACCGAGTGGCTATTATCAACATCAAAAACAACTTTGCTATATGAATAACAAACCGACCGGCTAATTATCTAATTTTAAATTTTATCGCAAAGTATAGCGATTGTAATAGCTACTAATGATACTATATAACTTTTAAAGTTGCAATACCTTCCGGAACGAATTATTTTAATGATCAAGAAACATAATAAAAATTTACTTAAACTCGTCTCGAATGATTGATTGGTATTTCGTTTGTCATTTAGACAATTCCAATTAACGATATCGTATCAATCAAAAAAGGTCGTAATCGCAATTGCCATCACACGTCAAATAGTTGTAGCATGAAATTCGTGAATATCTTTCAAATGTCAAATTTGAATGGATTACGATAGATTTTAAGATCGACAATTAGCCCCCTGCTTTGTATGACTTACAGACCAATGGTTTCGTAGAACTATTAAATTAGGAGCTCAATGGTGCGTTCAGTCTGCGATACGCTAAAGTAACACTATTAAGATCCAGTCATAAGATGGGTGACCAAAAATGTTAGCTTCATGCTTCAGTAGGCACGTTAAGACATTAGTACCAGCTACATCTGCAGTCGTCGCACTTAGTCCCCGCGATAGGTTCATGGCCCATTCTCCGAATTGGGTTTCATCCAAAGGGAAGGGCTTTGGCCCTGCCGCGAGGACATGGCAGATGAAGATGATGA